CTGCACTATTTTTTATGTATTCTTCACAGGGCTTTATTTGGTTTTTTGAGTGTCTAGCAGCTTACCCCATAGAGCTCTCACTTTTTTTGCTATCCTAGGGTATAACAATGGGCTGCACAGGCAGGGTAGGAATGCGGAGGGTATGAGCGTGCAGTAAAGTATGTGCGAGAATTCTGGAGGATGCAGATTGTATTGTAAATGGCACAGTTTTGGGGGATGTCACCCTGCCTGCATATACTGAAGACAAGTGGCAACTAAGCTACCCAATAAATATCCTTCCAATATCTGAAAGCTGTAGCTGAGAAATGGACTCGAACAGCGCGTATCCAAACAGCAGGGGGGAAAAGCTCCTTAGGATGCTGTGGAGTAGGACAGAAAGATGGTAGGACAATGTCCTGTTTAAGGTGGAAGGAAGAAATCACCCTGGGAAGTAAAGTGACCCTGGGCTTCAAAAAAAATGTTTACTTGTGAGGCACAAGAAAGGGTCCCACCAACTCAGAGACCCATCTCGCAAGTTGAGATTCCACAGTGACACTGGATAACGTACAGGAGGAACACTGTTAGCAAAACCCTGTATCGGACCTTTATTAAAAAGTGAGAGACAAACGGTCTCTGAACAAGAACCACTAAGGCTGAGATGTGACCCTTTAGGGTAGTCAAGGTCAGAAAGGCCTGATCCAGAAACGACTTCAGAAAAGCCAGGATTTAACTCATGGAGAACTTTCTGGGACTGAACGTCTTTGCCTTGCACCAGGAAAATATGCACCCAAATGCAATATCAAACTTTAAAAAAAATAATTTCCTGGTCTTCAAATGACTTCCTCTGTTCTTCACTACCTAGGGGTCAACAGCAAGGCCATTAAAGCAAGGTGATAAATTGGCACTTGGGGCAGAAGATGCAGACAATCCAGGAGAGCCCATGGCAAGTCAGCCAGGAGCCTGACAAGATCATATGTACCACATCCTCCAAGTTGATGTAATGAAGATCACCAAAATACCCTCCATCTCGATCCTGTGGAATAGGGGAGGAAGAAGATTTAAAGGAGAAAAAGCATAGATCACATTGGACTGATCTCACAGTCACCAGAGAATCCACTGCAAACGCTAAAGGATCCCTGGATCTGGGGACAAGCTGTTTAGTTTGTTGTTGAACCTGGGAGCCAGGAGATCTCCAGCTGCAACAGAAGTCTTGAAACACTCCAGAGCATAGTTCACAACTGAGTAAGTCCACCTGCCATTTTCCCTGCATGGGATGTGCATGGAGGAGGACATGGATGGAATGTGAAGTTCTGTCACAGCTAAAATCAGATCCACTTCTCTGCTGTGAGACTGTCTACTGACCTCACAGATGAGTGATCCAGCATTGAAGGGATAACCTAAGTGTCCTGAGTTCCAAGGCACTTGTCTCCAAATATTGATTCAGAGACAAGCTTCCTTGATGACCAAGTTCCTTTTACCAGTAGAGTACCTAGGACACCTCTTCAGCCTGATAGGTTGACTTCTGTTGTGAGAACCTTCCAGAGGACAGACTTCCTGAATTTCAGTGCCAAATTTGAGACCCACCATTTCAAGGGAAATCTGGTACTGCTTGGTCAGACATATGGGAAGATCCAGAGATTGTGCCTGTCCCACACTGCCAGAATGTTGAGTTACGATGATCTGAAGTGAATTTGGAAATGTGGAACTGCCTCAAAGGAGGTCACTATCAGGTCCCAAAACCCTTGCGCAAAGAGGGTTGGTTTGCTCCTGGACTGCAGGGTCTGAACATGTAAGCAGAAAGTCTGGAGTTTGTCCAGACAAGGAAGACCTCAGACAGGTCCATATCGAAGATCAGGTCAGATACGCCAAGTAACAATATGGTTCCAGTACAGACTCCTGGAGGTTTAGGATCCACCTGAAGTTCTGGAGTGTTTGCACAGTCCATTGGACATTGGTTGACAGATCCGGAGTCAACTGTTCTCTCATAAGAAGGTCAGACATATATCCCAATATGGGATGCCCTGTGAACCAAGCAGGGCAAGAACAGGGACTAGCACCTTAGTGAAGACCTGCAGTGCAGTGGACAGGCCAAAGGGAGAGGAAACAAATTGGCAAAGTTGCTTGCCCACAGCAAAGGGCAGGCCACACTGATGTGACTGGAGAGGTTGGGGACATGCCAGTAGGTTTTTCTTGATGTCCACTGTGGCCAAAAACTCTCCAGGGTGGAGGGAAACAATGTCAAACCAGCTGGATTGCACATGGAAATTTTGTATTCAAAGGAAGGTGTTGAGAACCTTTAGATCTTTTATAGGGCAGATGCCCCCTTTGGCTTTGGGAGCGGTGAACAGGTGTAAATAAAAATCTTGAAACTACTTTCAAGATTTCCTAGATAATGGTTATGACCCCTTGAGGAGGTGAGTTCTGTCAAAACAGTGTGAAAGTCTGCCAGTCCTTGTGGGGACATTGGCCAGTTTGACAACATAAAGAGGAGTGTAGGCACATACCAAATTTACAACTTGTAACCTCTGGAAACTTTGCTTTGTACCCAAACGTCTGAAACATAGCAGGATCAGATGGCTGCAAAGGCCAGCAGACATCCCAAAACTTTGATAAGTGGAGGCACCCCCTCACTGAGAGGAGAACTTGTAGGTACAGGACTTACAGCAGAAGAGGGTTCCAGGCTTTGCTTTGGACTTGGGAGGCCTGAAAGGAATTCTTTTTAAGCTCAGAAGAAGCAAGCTTCCCAGATAATCATGGTTGCAAAGGCAGGTTGCAGAGAAAAACATGAAAGCAGGAATAAGGCCTTAGAAAGAGCAGTTAAAAGTCTTGTAAAGACAGGAGAAGGCAAGGTCCACTTGATAGTCCAGGGATGGTCCAGGCTGTGATCTTTGGCATGGCCAATGCAGGTTGCTCCAGGTCAAGGCACATTTGTACCATGTGGACTGTAATGGTATTCTTAAAGAATATGTAAACCCAACATTTCATATTGCCGATATGTGCCTACTGTTCAATGAACTTGTATGAAAAGCATCCTGCTCTCTTTGTATTGCTTCTTTTGTTTGAAATCCCCAGTGCTCCAGCCAGTCCCTCTGCTTTCCTATTAAAAACTGAACACACTAGACCTAAAAGCAAAGCGTTGTATGCTAGCCAGAGTTCGCTCTATACCCATGCTCAGACTTGTCATGATAACTCCCCCATTCACTGGAAATACCAGTGTACTGTTGTTTCTCCACCCTCACCTTCCTATGTAGCTCAGAACAAAATGGTATTATTATACAGGCTTTATATAGCGTCAACAGTTTGCGCAGTGCTTTACAAAATGAAGGTAGACATAACCGTTACAATACAATTTGGTACAAGAGGGAACAGAGGACTCTGCTCGTTAGAGCTAACAATCTAGGAGATCACTATGTGATATGTGATCACTTACAAAAAGGGGGAAAAGGGTATTTATAATGTTTTTATGTCTATACACAAATGTTTTACCTTTCCTTTCTATTTTAAACTGTATGGGTTGTTTTACAAGGTGAGGGTTTGTAAGTACTCTAAGTTCAAAAGATATGTTAAAAGACCAAGACTTTTTGTTTACCAGGCTATCAAAAACAGACAAGGTACAATCCTTTTTCTTCTTAGCTGAAAGCGCAAAAGCAGCTGCAGTTGAAGATAAATCAGAGATGGACTCTAGGGGAAAGGGTGTGGGTGCCCGCTTGTGGCTTGTTGCTGCATTCTAAAACAGCCAACATGGCTGAACTTTTCCCCATAAATTCAGACATAATAGCAGAAAACACCTCTTTTGCTAAAGAGGAGGGGGCCACCCCCAAAGGGGTTAATGAGGCCTCTGAGGAGGGCAACAATGGGGGACAGTGGTACAGGCTGTGAATGTCAGGACCCCATGAGGGCTTGGCTGCAAAGCCCTGTGGAGCTGTTAACTGTTCAGAACCCAGTAAGGCCAAGAGAGCAGCTGCTGTTGCGCTTATGGTCTGCCATAGTACAACCTGAAAGAAAGGGATCCCCCACAAGAGTTACTCACTAGACACTGTCAAAGCAGAAAGGGTTAATGTGGTCTGTGACTAGTCACTGGAGGCAGCAGGGAGTCCAATCCTATCCCAGGGAACCAAGGTGCTGCAGTAGCTGAGCAGATGGCAGAAGAGATTGAACCAGTCCACACGTGTAGTCCAAAACGAGACAAGCATGCACCGTATGAACAAACAGACGGAGAATGTGCAGGCCTGATCAACGGCCCCAAAATATTAAAAAAACAAAAATAGTGTAGTTACCTCTCCTGCTTCCAGACTGCGTCTGAAAATATCACAGCCAGTGCTCCTGAGATTAAGCCCTTAGGGGAGACATACCAGCACATCCAGGCTGACATAAGGGCCAAAGCCCTGACTTCCCTCAGCCATGGTTCTAAGACCTCCTGTGGTCCCCACCAGGCAGATAGGCAGGATCTAGGGCACATGTCCTATCCAGCGATCTTTGTCCTCCCAGCGGGTATACACTCTTAGGAGTCTTCAGGGACAGGCTTTCCCTGGACAGGTGGTCCATGGCCCAGGATCTGTAAAGAACTCTGTGGGTTTAAGCATGGCCTCCAGGCTAATCTGAGGATTCGCTGATCCAGAAGCTGCAAAAATACACCCCAGTGGTTTTCCAACTGTAGAAGCTTGCAAGTAGAGAAAAAAGTACAAAACAAAAAGAAAAAAAAAAAAAGGAGTAGGTTTTCTTCCCTCACAGGAGAGATGTTTATTCTTCTAGGACGCTAGAAAAAAAATTGAGGCATGCTGGGAGTGGGGAGAGGATATACTGGGATGTCCTCATAGCTCTTGCTTACCAGTGTCAATCTCCTACAGGAAGCAGCATAACCAAATGTACATAAATGCTTTACCAGTGCCGCGTAATCTATTAATAAGAAGTATTTGTTAAAAGTTATAAATCATACTTCAACCCCACCCTGAGTCACCCTCTAGTGACCATCCAAATCCCAATATAAAATCAAAAATCATTTCAAGGTAAAGAGGGCTGACCTGCAGGCATTGATATAGTCCTTCCTGTGCTCCAGGAGAAAATCCTTCAGTTTCCCAATATTATTGATCTAAACAAAGACAAAACATAGACAACATTAATTGCTGTTTTCCAACTGAAATCTTGAATATTAGTGTTTTTACATACCAAAATAGTTAACTTCCAAGACTGTGTTGTTAAATGAACAGCATACAAAATAATATTTTAAAAAAGGCCATTTAACCCCTTCCTGCCTAAGGGTAAAACAAACGTTAAAAGGATAGGTTCACCTTTCATAACATGACCATATTCAGGGTGTAATGTGTATCATGTTATGAATGGACCAGCCCCTGCTCCCCCCTTTGACAGCTAGCGGGGGATCTTCTCCCAGCCCAGCCGTGTCACTCATTCACAGTCCTCTGTGAATGAGAAAACTACACATCCCGACAGCCTTAGCGGATGTCAGCTTGTAGTTCTTAATGAACTACTACGGTGCTATGGAGCTGTGGAGCACCGTGGTAGTTCATTGATTTCTCCTGTCAGTATATCTGCTTGCCTGTACATCCCATACGAGCAAGGAAGGAGATATACTGACAGGTCTGCAGGAGACCTGCATGGCACCAACAATCTGCTGATCGCTGGTGCTATACTTTACAGGCTCCTGCACCAAAAAATAATAAATGCACCTTTTTTTTATCTGCAAAAAAATGTGCATTTATTATTTTTTGTCAAAATGTGAACTTACCCTTTAATGCTTAAACCAGAGCTCCACCCAAAAGGGGATGTTCCGCTTTAAGCCTTTGTCCCCCACTCCCCATTAAGGATTGGCACCTTTGGGAACCGGGGTACCTGAATTTGACAGGTACCCGCTCCCACTTCCGCTGCAATCGTGACAGGTCCCAGAAGACTACGGGGCCATTAACAAAGCGCAGCAATTCTTACTCATGCGCAGAGGGCACCCGGCTGTGAAGCCACAAGCTGTCACAGCCGGGTGCCCACACTAAAGATTCCGGCGCCAGGGAGAGAATATGGCCAATGAAATCAGCGGAGGTGAGGACATCGCTAGACCGAGGGACAGGTAAGTGGCTGTATTTTAAAAGTCAGCAGCTACAGTTTTTGTAGCTGCTGAGTTTTTTTTTTCTCCGCTTTAACTACAATTTTGCAACTTTGACATGTGTTAGTAAAATCATACATATCATCACAAGTATCCAGTTGGATTATATCTGTTTTTTCAGTACAAATTGGGCTTCCATTTGGTGGTAAATGGTAATGGACATCTCATGTTTTTTTTTTTTTTTTATTATCAAAAGAAAACTGGCCCAAAATAGTAAATTTATTTTATTTTTATTTACCTGTATATTTCTTGTTTCTACCATAACCTACCACCAAAGAACAACCCAAAGTAAATTCGTCAGCTCCTAACGATCACAGCAATATCACGTGTTTGTTAGTTGTTGTTTGTACCCGTAGTAAGGCCCAGAAACAATGCGTATTTTGCTTTTTTTTTTTTTAATCCTACCTAAAAACACACTGGCATTGATCCTAATTAAAGATGTGTTGTTTTAAATTCTGCCCAAAACATACTAAGCATGACCTTTGACCCCTCTGACCTATAACCCTGCCACAAACCCTGGTGTGGACCTAGATCAAACCTTGATCTAGGTTTTTTTTTGGGGTTTTTTTGCACACAATTTTTGTATTTTGTATTTTTTCACAATGTATCTTTTCTCTCCATTCACAGAGAGAAAAATGGGGGTGACTGATCACTGTGACAGCCGAATCAGAGGCTATCACAACGATAAGGTGACCTGGAACCGGGAGTTCCGGGTCCCGATCATTAGCACATGACCCAAGGCTCCTGGTCTCTGTGCAGGGAGCGCAGCACAAAGACACATACGCATATATGCGGCCCCACGGAAGAAAGCCCAGTCCAGTGGGGCCACATATATGCATATACTCAGCACCAAGGGGTTAAATTGCCGGCAAATTGCATTGAAGGCTTTACTTCTGTTTGTAATCAAACAGCTGTGGATTTACTTCATCTATACCAGACCTAGACCACATTTTAAGGGGAAACCCATGCAAAAAAAAAAAAAAAAAACACCTGAAAAAATCATGATGTCCCCCCCAAACTCTATACCAGAACCTTGTCTAAGCAAGCAGCTCCCCTCCACTTCCCAAACTATAAAGGCCACATTATGGAGGTCTGTTGAAAGAGGGTTTATGTAAATCTGAAAGCCCCCTTTATGCTAAGGAGGCCTCCAGATATCCCCACGTTCAAAAGAAAAAATAATACAGTAAATAAGGACACAAAGCCCTATTTAGCAGAGGTAGATAATCCCCTATTCTAAGAGAGTTCAGCTCCCACTGAACTAGCAAAAAGTCCAGCATTTGGATAAGCATCTAAACAGCCAAGGTGGGGGTATGAACACAAGTTCAGAACAAACTTTGGGCTTCTGGGCTTATCCATTGATCAGTATAAAAAAAATCCACTATGATTTATTGTTCTCTATTATGTTTTATTATTTTATTATATGGTTCATATTCTTATGATTTTGTGTGTTTGGGAAAGGTTTCACCGGTTGATGGAACTGGACTATGTGTTTGACTGAAATACACAGGATCAGAACATCGTAGCAGATAGCTATAATTTCTTCTGGAAAAATTCTAGAATTTCCTAACCGAAGAATGAACTGAAAAAAACAAAAAGCTAAAGAAAGGGAGCTCTATCAGCGCAATATATATTTTTCACCCAGAAACTTGTGAGCAATGATGCAACAATATACCTGGCCATGAGATGGTGCCAAAACACAAAACATCCACACTTTCACTTTTTCGTTCCAGAGGATCAATTCACAAAGTTGTTTTTTCTCTTCTTATGGTGTTCTTTCTTTGACACCACAACTTATTGACTCTCAGACCTGATCCAAAAAATGAATTTAGTCAGCTCTGTATGTTCTGGTATTTTATCACTTCACAAAAATGTATAAGTCGATTCGTAAAGATCGGTATACGGGTTAACACTAGCTTTAGGGTGGTGATAACTGGGAGCTTCAATAGCTGTCTATGTAGGAGGGAAGAAAAACAGCTGACTGAAGTGGTGATAAAATAACATTTCACAAGGCAAAATAACCATTAATGGGAAAATAAGGCTTTCAAAAGAACAGTTCAATTCACATGAAAAAATACAGATTACACATCTTGATGGTATTTATATTTGTGAATGGAAGTTTTTTAAGCGAAAATTATTGTTCGCTAAAATAAGCAGTGGTTAAACAGCTCGTCTATCGCAGTGAATTGAACCTCATGTCTTTACATATTTATTTATATATTACAAGTACTTATATAGAGCCGTTAAATTACGCAGCACTTCACATATATATTGTACATTCACATCAGTCCCTAACCCTCAAGGGGTGTACACGCTAAGGTCCCTAACTTACATTCATTCATACACATACTAGGGCCAATTTAGACAGGATCCAATTAACCTACCAGCATGTCTTTAGTGTTGGAGGAAACCGGAGTACGCGGAGGAAACCCACACAGGCACGGGGAGAACAAGCAAACTCCAGACAGGTGGTGCCGTGGTAGGGATTCGAACCAACGACCAGAGTACTGCCAGGTGGAAGTGCTAATCATTTAGCCACTGTGCTGCCCACATATGACTATATACCTACCTCTAAAAGGTATCCAAAGCTGGCCATAGATAGTTCGAATCTGGGCAGGTTCAGCAGGAACGAGCTGAGATTCGATCCATCTATGGGCAGGCTGATTGTACCCATTCATCGATCCACACTGGGTACAACCAGCACATCGGATTTCTAGCATGCGATTATGGACGCTAGGAATCAGGGGCGGACTGACCATTTGGAAACTCGGGCACTGCCCGAGGGCCCAGGGTCAGTAGGAGGCCCCATGAGATGCCCCTGGTACCTTTTTCATAGGCTTTTTTTAGTTTGGGCAAGGATACAGGGGCCCCATGATCCCCTATTGCCCGGGGGCCCCATGAGTTGTCAGTCTGCCCCTGCTAGGAATAATTATTGGCTCTCTGCATCTAATCCCCACCCCACCGGGAGAAGACAATAGCTCCATGGGAGAGACTGATAGAAATTCGGGTTGCAGGAAAGAAAGTCGCATCATCTATGGCCTGCCTTACACTGAGAAGAATATGGAGGATGCCATTGTGGATATTCTTCTAAAAATACTAGTTGCTAGACCCAGAAAAAAGAATAAAAATTAAGAATGCTAGAAAAAATGTCAGAAGGCCCATCTGCAAATGGGTTCCAGGTTACTGACCCAGAAAGTACTGACACCATCACAATGGCAGCCAGTGAACTAGTAATCTTATAACTGAAGCAATGAAAACAAATATATCCCTTAAAGTGGAAGTAAACTACATTTTTTTACTTTTACCTACAGGTAAGCTTATTGTAGAAGCTTACTTGTAGTTAAAATGAATATCTCCTAAACATGCACCGTTTAGGAGATATTTGCTTTTATTTTAGAGCCACTGCATGCGCTCTAAAGGAATGGCATATCGATGCCGTTCCATCAGACCACTGTGCCATGGCCCGAAACTTTCACGAGCATGTGCGGGACTGACGTCAACAGCCATGAACATGGAAGGAAGACCAGGTGAAGATGGAAGCTTCTGCAGCCTGACATATAGGGCCTTGTGACCATGTCCATTATCCACTCACAAACTAAGATGACAAGTGCCCAACTTGGTTATTTTTAGTTGGACTGAGTGGCAAATCTTATGTTTTGGGGTTGACAGTCACAAATCCCACGTGTCCTTAATGAATTGAGCTATATTAAAGCCATTGCTTCTAATTTTTAGAGACTCTTTAGTGACTGGCATAGTACCACTGGACTGGCGGAAGGCCAACGTGGTGCCTACATTTAAAAAGGGATACCAAGTAATTACAGACCTGTTAGTTTAACGTCTATAGTCTGGAAGATACTTGAGAGATTAATAAAAGACTACATAGATGAGTTCTTGCAAGAAAAAAATATTTTAAGTAACAGAATGGATTCATGAAATACAATGTCAAACAATTCTGATTTCTTTTTACAAGAAGGTAAGCA